ACCTCACAGTATTATTAGTTTCAACAAATATCAGGATTACAGAGCTATTGACCAGGATTCATTAGGTTGCTGTTAGAGCTCTATCCCAGGATAGTGGAGCTAGTGTTCATCTTATTTTCAAGGTGTATGAACTTTGGCAGGAAGCTTTTCCTGGTCAGGCCCACAAACTCTCTTGTCTCTAGGTCTTAAAGGCTTCTTATGCTCATAAAACCTTCACCTATCATGATCCAGGCACTTCTGTCTTTGATTATTGACACAAAGGTAGCTATAAGTTGTTGTTTTTTTTTTTAAATCTATACTGGCACTTTGAACTTTTCATTTCTGTGCTTTATCTTTACAGTATTCTTGTGGCCTTTAAAAGAAGTCTGTACTTGTTAAGGTGACTTCACTATTTCACATGCCTGCTTTCAGGAAGGACTGAGAGCTGTGTACCTCAGAGAACAGCTACAAGTTCATTGTCTTTGGTTTAATTGATTCTGTACCTATGGTTAGTCAGAACAGCATGGTGGCAGGAGCATGTGGCAAAGGCTACTCCCCTAATGGTGGACAGAGAACAGTGAAAGAAAGGGATGGGGAATGGGTATAATCTTCCAAGAATAGTCTAACATTAAACTTCTTTCCAAGTAGACTCCAACTCCTGAAATAGTGCCACCAGTTTGGGACCAAACATTCAACACATGACTCTGTTGGGGGTAATTTCATATTCAAACCATAATAACTGGTGTTTTAGGCTGGCACTAAAATTTTCCAGGTTTTTGACCCAAAGTATCTCTCTTTTAAAGTCTCACCTATAACACTGTATCAAGGAACAACAGAAACGAAAAAGATTAAAAAGATCATTCTGTTCCTGACGGAAATCAGGAAATCCAGGTCTTGGGGAAAAGCATAGCCTTTGCTTATTTCTAAGCCCCAGAATATAGCAGTATAAAATAAAGATGAAAATGAAATACAATGCCCAACTACAGTTCACAGATCAGATGCTTATCACAGAGAGCAGTGAATTCCCCTCCTGTTATCCCTTGAGAGAGGGGAATTGGTAAGCAGTAGAGGCAGCCTCTTGACCAAGGACATAATCATAGCATAGAGTGATAGAGATGGTAGAAGTAGTTAAGTTTCAGCCGTGGATCAGGGTAGGCATGTGTGCAGCAAATAGTCCCCAATTAGGCATTTGTAGTCAGCCCTAGCAAGTTACTGATGGGGAATGAGTTACATCCCTCTGGCAAACCTAGGAAACAACCCAACCCACATTTGACTAGTTAGATGACAAGTGTGGACCTTCAGTAAAGCTAACTTCTGTAAATGGAGGTAAAGTCTGTTCATTGACTACGATGTTCAGAAAAGTCAGACCCTTCCTATTCTCTGGCCTGAGTTCTCTCTTCCCTGTTGTGATATCCCATTTCCAAACCTCCTGAGCTTCACAGACAGAATTCTCAAAACAGCTGTGAAGTGCCTTAGAAATAATCTATTTCTCATAGCAGGGGCAAAGTTTTCCAATGTTTATATATAAATCAAAGTATTTCAGAAAGGCTGACCGTGGAGGCACACGCCTGTAATCCCAACACTGAGGAGGCTGAAGCAGGACTATTTCTGCAAGTTCAAGGTTAACATGGACTACAAAACAGGATCCAGGCCAGTCAAGACTGTATAGCAAGAAGCTGACTCCACACCTCTCCTCCCCTCCCCCCAAAAAGACATAAAACAAAAACAGAGTAGGTTTGACATTATCCCCCTAATAATAGCTCTCTTGTGGTCTTATCAAGTTTCTAAGAGTGAGAAACATGGAAAATTAAGTAATTGGCCTAGAATATGTTGAACTACATCATACAAAGTAGAACTCAGTATCTATCTATGGTACCACAGGAGCTATTTAGATAGGCCTTTTCTTGGCTCACACCTTTAAGCCATGATTCAAGCTCTGACTTGATTTAAAGTGCCCTGTCTTTCTATATTGCCATATACTATGGCCCTATTACCTTACTGAGAGTGATAGGGAAGCTGGCAACCAAGGAGAAAGGGAGATGAGGAAATCCTTGGCATCTTCCCAGCGTGCAGTTAAATGTTTAAAGCTGGTTTCTCTAGTGACCATTTGAATGTCACTCCAAGTTTCTTCTAAGATCCTGTCACCTGTGACTTCTATACAACACATAGCCAGCTCAGAATGACAGAATAGAGGCCCTGCCTTTTGACACTAACATAAACTCTAGAGTTTGCATTGTCTTGTCATATCTTATTATCTTACTATCCCTTTGAGGACGTAAGGAAGCTGGAAAAAGCAAAGGAAGAGCAGAGGGATGGAGGGAGAAGGAATGAACTTCTTTCCCTGACTATCTCCAGGAATTGGACTGTATTAATGGTTGAGGAAGGTGTTTGCATTGGGAGGGATTATGTGTGTGTGTGTGTTTTCTCTTTCTTCCTGAGAAGGTGTGTGTATCCCTTGTCAGCATTTCTTAAACCTGTTGAAAGGCCTTCCTTAACCACTCCCATCACTCCTTTAAGTGTTCTCTGGCACTATTCCCATGGTTGGGGGGCCCTGCCCAAGGAATAATTCCACCTATTTTTCTGCTTTCTGTTTTGAGAGAAGTATTTCTCAGCCAATTTCTGTATCCCCACTGTGGCCTCCCACTCTATCTAAACTGCCTTCTCACCATCCAGGAAACCCCAGGGTAGGGTGTGGACAGACCAGACCCTTTGAAATCTGTAGCGCCTCTCTCTACAAGTTATAGAGTTCCACAAAAGAGACCCAAGGATCCACCTCAAGTGACTGTTTGGTGAATAGCTCTGCTGTGATGTAAAGCTGGCATTATTAGTATTATCCATTCCTTTTTTTTTTTTTTGGTTTTTCGAGACAGGGTTTCTCTGTGGTTTTGGAGCCTGTCCTGGGACTAGCTCTTGTAGACCAGGCTGGTCTCGAACTCACAGAAATCCGCCTGCCTCTGCCTCCCAAGTGCTGGGATTAAATATTAGCCATTCTTATATTCCTTAGAGAACTTATATCACTTCAAAGGTCACCTATTTTATTGTGGGTCACCCAGTGAAGCCAGGTGTTCCACCTTAGAGCCTGTGCCTTCTTCACAAACCCCTTGACTGCTAACTCTGCCTCCCTGACAAGTTCCTCTGCCTTATTAGCAAGCCCCTTGTCTGTTGTCTCTGCCACCCTAACAGAGTTCTCTTGGTTTTTGTCTCCTAAGCATTTCTAGTAGCCTTAAGTCCTTGATGTAACAATCAAAGTAACCTTGGCAACTGCCAGAAAAAAAAAAGATTTGGAATTTTGGCTCTCAAGATGGCTTCACAGAGCAAAGTGGGTAAGAAGACCCTGCCAGTGTGTCCTTGGTCATATTATACTCTTATTTTCCCAGCCTCTGTAAGGCTATAGTGCACCAAGATTTTCAGAGAGAAGTTATTTGCCTTTATTAATATGTCTCTTGGCTTGGGGATGGGTGTGCAAACAACCCCAGTATCTGCTTCATAAAGGATATGGAATGAGATTAAGATTGAGTTGGCCAAGGGAGAAAGGTCAAGAACATGACAGGGAGAAGTGAACCCCCCATGGTGGCCTTGCATTACAAACCCTTCTTGGCACTGTCAGTCACTGTGTTAGAGAAAACAGATCCTACAAAAACACCATATTCTGTGGCGGCTATATTATCAGCTTCAGGTAGGCAGTAGCCAAAGAGAGGAGAGGATGGGAATAAGAAAACTTTACTCTTCACTTTGAAATTATGCCCAGAGGTAGAAATGGTATGGTCCCCATGAACTCCAAGCTACACTCCTGTGCCAAACCCTAGTTTTTTGTTTTGTTTTGTTTTGTTTTTGTTTTTTTCGAGACAGGGTTTCTCTGTGGCTTTGGAGCCTATCCTGGAACTAGCTCTGTAGACCAGGCTGGCCTCGAACTCACAGAGATCCACCTGCCTCTGCCTCCCGAGTGCTGGGATTAAAGGCGTGCGCCACCACCGCCCGGCTTGTTTTGTTTTCTTTTTTTTTTTTTTTTTTTTAAATATTTATTTATTTATTATGTATACAATATTCTGTCTGTGTGTATGTCTGCAGGCCAGAAGAGGGCACCAGACCTCATTACAGATGGTTGTGAGCCACCATGTGGTTGCCGGGAATTGAACTCAGGACCTTTGGAAGAGCAGGCTATGCTCTTAACCACTGAGCCATCTCTCCAGCCCCCTTGTTTTGTTTTCTTTACATAAACTTTTCACCAAGGTCTAACAGTAGGGAGAAATTCTAAACTTGCCAAAAACTTAAGATATTCTAGAAGGAATCATATGCCCAAAACTTAAGATATTCTAGAAGGAATCATAATTGATATCTTATATTACCAGTTTGCTTTTTAATTATGTTAATTTTACAAACCTCTTTTTCATGAAATTTATAGTTATTGGTAAGGGTGAAAATGTGAAGAAGGCTTGGAAAAATTAAGGAGATTGATTGTGACAGCCACAAGGTATAAAGGGAAAGGAGACAGGCATAAATACTGACACAAGGTTCATGAAATTCGAGATCCACTGAGGTTAAACTACATTCCTGAAAAGTCATCAATAGTTCCATTCCTGTTGAGACTCCAATATAAGACCTCCCCACAGCTAGCCACCAAAGTCGGGGTAATGAAGGTGGTTTGAGGAGAGCAATGTTTACTCATGTTAATGAGGGCGGGGGTAGGGGAGGTGAGGGCAGAATGCCTATTGAAATTCTGCCTCCTATCCCTAGTGTCACTCAGATATTGTTTGTGAAGCTCACACGGGACCCTGTCCAGGAGGGAGCTGAAAGGCACAATTCATTGTTCTTGCCATCATCCAGTGCCAGGGTGTGCCCCAAATCATTTGCTAGAGCTGCTTCTCCAAGAGAGTACCCATCTTTCTACCAGGATTCTACTTGTCCCCCACACCCGCAATACCATTGCCTTCTGCATTTGCATCTACATCCTCCCCACTTTCCTGCCCAACACAATTAAGGCTCTGGGTCCTGGCTATGCAAGGCAATTCACATGATCTACAGAGAACAAGACACTTTCACTGTCACCGTCTTTTCTTCTTGCTTCTCTCCTTCTGAACATTGGGGATTTTCCATGAAGTCAAAATAACTATGTAAGTGGCAGTGGCCTTCGTGTCTATAGTCTCCCACATTGGAGTGGAACCAGAGGGGAAGAGAGAAGATAAGAAAGAAACAAGGACAGATTATACCATGGCATTTCAGCCTCCGTATTCCCCCAGCCTCTTCAGAAAATGGGACAAGTAAGTAACCAGAACTAGACAGACCCTAGATAGAAGGGGGCTATATCTGGAGGAGTAACTGGGGAGGGATTTTTTTGACCTATCCCATTAGCACTGTACTAATGCTCAGGCGTTCAATATCCTTTTTGTATTTCCCTTTCTAGCTCCTAACCCAATATTTGTTTTGTGGCTGGTCCCACACCTCTCGCATCATGTCCTTTTCCGCTTCTCCTGACATAGGACCCTGTGTTTTGCTGGCAATATTGCTGAATCCTTGGGTGGAACATTCCCTGTAGAAAATACGGAAGACTTGCCTATAAATAGTTTCCTTCTGGCTGTGTGGTACACAATGCTTCAAGTGTGACAAAAAGGGAAGTAAGATGTTCCCCCTTGCTGCCTCCTCCAACCTACCACACCCACCCAAGCCTGATCTCCACCCTTTCACACCATGCTGAGATCCCATGTGAGGTTTATGCTGCTAGGATTTTTCCCAGTAACCTATCTACTGGTAGTAGGAGCTCTTGTCCGGATGACTTTGACATTTAAAGTAGAACAGACCAATGGGAATGTGAACATATTCTTCCAGCTCAAACAATAAACTACCTCCCATGGCCTCCTGAAATGAGGAAAATTGATCCATCCTCATTACCTTTAGGAGGTCACCCCTGAGGGAGGTAGGGCCAGCTATGTCTGCTTCCTTGCAAAAAGTACTGTGGTGTTAGGGCTAAAAGTGAAGCCAGTGAAGGGCCTAGCTCATCAGCAGGTACTGCTGGCGTGCTGGCTTCAGATCTAGGCTATATTTATAAGTTGTGGGGTAGAAGAAGAGGCTTAGAAATATTTCTGAATGTTGATGTTGTTGGGCTGTTGAAGCCTTGAGTTGCTCGTTCCTGTGTGGAGTCCACTTGTGCAGGAAAGAAGGATAAGATCAGTACTTTACTCAGAAGTATTAGACTAGATAATGGATATAATGTACTGTGCAATCTTTCACCCACTCCAAGGGTTGGTGCAAATGTTTTAAACAGAAGAGTTTTCTGGTATGCTGAGGGTTAACCATAAAACTAACCATTTAGGTTCAACCCCCTTCCCCAATCTCCCTTGTCCTTATTAGAAAATCTTTGTATAGAGACATTTACAGAAGTTCTTTTTTTTTCTTTATATAACCCTGGGATCCAGTAATTCTCTGGAAACTGAGATAAAGCTTACTTTTCACATACAGAACTATGGACGTATAGCAGAAGAGAGAGATTGGTCTAAGTGTGGGCTGAATCCACAGGATAGTGGGTCAGTCAGAAAAACAAAACCACTAAGTTCATGGTATAAATTTGCCCCTCCCCTCCCCTCCCCTCCCCTCTCCTCTCCTCTCCTTTCCTTTCCTTTCCTTTCCTTCCTAAGGGTTCACTCACTCCATAGCCCTGACTAACCTACACACACCAGACTGGCCTTGAACTCACAGAAATCTGCCTGCCTCTGTCTCTGCCTCTTGGTATTAAAAGCATGCCACAATGCCCAACTAAGCTTGTTTACTTACTGACCTCATTCTAAAGACAGTACAGCAAGAATAAGAAAAAATGGAGAGATTTAACTAAGGATATCGGTAAGTGGGAGGGGGCAAAATTTTGAGGTTTAAATAGATTGTGATTGTTATTCTAAAACCACACACTTTATTTGGAATAGTGTGTGCTCTGGAACTATATATTCATTCCTTTATGGAATCACCAGTAGCTTCTATTTCTTAGACTGGCATGACTTTGAAGACTTCTCAATTGTGTTTTGAACTGATCTAAATGAACATGGCCCTTTTCTTTTTTTTTTCAGTTTAATCAGTTTTATTTTATTTTTTTTATTTGCAATACTTTTGGCCAATAACTTAAATGTATTTTTGCCTAACGCTTATATCCTAAACTAACCCATCTCCATTAATCTGTGTATCGCCATGTGGCTGTGGCTTACTGGGTAAAGTTCCATCCGGCGGGTGTCTGTCTCTGGAGGGGCTCCACGGCTTCTCCCTGACTCTGCCTGCGCTCTTTAAATCTCTTTCAACCTGGCTTTACTCTGTTAAGCCATTGGCCGAAAGCAGTTTCTTTATTCATTAACCAGTAAAAGCAACATGGCCCTTTTCTAAAGCTCTTAAGGACAGTCTGATTATTTTTCCCATCTCCAAGTGTCAGAAAAGCTGACTATGCTTAAAACTCAAAGTTGGCCTTAGAGCCTCTTGTCTGTCACCAAAGTTGCTAGCATCCTACAGGCATTTTCTCTCCACCCTTTCTTTCCTCCTTACCCTTCTCTGACTCCTCCAATTCATCCCTCCAACTTCAGTAATCTCTGCTCTTTCAGTAAACCTATTTCCTGACCAACAATTATCCATTAGCTGGTATAGTCAAACAAACAAACTTAGTTTCTTGGTCAGTAGATTTGTGCTAGAGTCCTAGCTCTGCAATGTATTCACCATGTTGGGCAAGGTACCAGACCCTCAGGGTTTTTTTTATTTGTAAATGGTAGTGATATTGCCTAAAATGCAGGGTTTATGGTATAGCCAGCACAGTGTCAGCTCATAGCTAGTGCTATGGTAGCTATTATAGTCAGTGAATCTCAAACTCAGGTTGTTTTTTATTTGAAGTATAATTAGTGAGCAATTCAATTCAACCTTGTGAGCAACCCCTGTTTCCTCTTTTCTTTCCTCAAAGTACCTGAAATTCTCTGTCACTGTTTCCAAATGAAGAAACCTTCATCAAAATGGTTGTTTTACTTCTCTTGTACATCATTTTCCTGGTGGTATTTTGCCCCTGCCAACCTGTCTTATCCCTACCTCCCACTGTCTTGGGGTGGGTGAGTAGCAGTAGTTTAGGAAAAATTTACAAAGCAATAAAAAAATCAACTCAGAAGTTTTTTTTAGACCAAGAAAGCTCTAGGTGGCAGAGGGAAGATTAATAAATCAGGAAACTCCAAGAGCAGCTAAGCTGCTAATTTAAAAGGTTTTTTTCTCCTCGGTTAATTTTTTTTTTTTTTGGTTTTTCGAGACAGGGTTTCTCTGCGGCTTTGGTTCCTGTCCTGGAACTAGCTCTGTAGACCAGGCTGGTCTCGAACTCAAAGAGATCCGCCTGCCTCTGCCTCCCGAGTGCTGGGATTAAAGGCATGTGCCACCATTGCCCGGCTGCGGATAATGTTCTTAATGACCTATAAATACTACCTATACTTTGTTCTGTCTGCTGCACACCACTTAGTGCAAACACCACATTCAGGGAGTCCGAAGTTAACAATGTCTTGAGGTTGGCATTTTCTCCCACCTAAATGGTATGGAATGGGCTATGCAAAAGATTTGCTTGGAGAGTTTATTGGTCATCTCTTTGCTTTTTGTTGTTGTTTTGGTTTTTGTTTTGTTTTGTTTTTCAAGACAGGGTCTCAGTAGCTTTTGAGCCTGTCCTGGAACTAGCTCTTGTAGACCAGACCAGGCTGGCCTCAAAATCACAGAGATCCACCCGCCTCTGCCTCCCGAGTGCTGGGATTAAAGGCGGGCACCACCACTGCCGGGCGCTTGGTCAGCTCTTTGCAACTGCAGTGGACATTGAATATTTTACCATTGAAATCTACCAGTGGAGCCCCATTTCATAGTTGAAAACAGTGCCTGTTCAGTGACATAAATGCACTAAAAGCCAGGAGGAAATCAAGGTCTTCAGATTGGGCTTGGCTGGGGCCTTAGCCAGGGTGTCAGTACCAGGTACCTGTCTAAGAAATATCCTGAAGCAAATAATTACCTCCTTTGCTGATAAGAGGTCCCGGTACTTTTCCAATAGAACGATTGCCCTGGGTTGTTTCATTGGACCATAGCTTGTGGAGCACTGATTTATGTGTACTTGCCTTAACATCATGCAAACTATTGTATATGTTGGTGGAACCTAATGTTCCTCTAGTCCTAGGTTGGTGTAAACAGTATTGGTGATTGCATCACTTATCCCTGTCTCTGCCCACGCTGTTTCTTATCCTTGCAGTTCTAATTTTATCCACCAGGTGGCCTCTCTTAGGCAGGAGTAGGAAGAACCTCAAGGCTTTAGAAGCCACCTCCTTTTTCAGTCTCTTTCTTTCCTTCCTTCCTTCCTTCCTTCCTTCCTTCCTTCCTTTCTTTTTAATGCCCAAAAGAATGAAAATACATTTTGATGCAAACATGTGTAATTTTATTAAACAACAGAAACCTCTTTCCTTATGGTATCATTAAGTACTCTTCAATGGTGTATATATATAGTTGGATCCATTACTACTAGACACTTAGGTCCACAATGTACCAGCTTAGTTTCCTGTATTCTGAAGTAAACAGAAGTGGGCAAATAAAAGTGAATTTATTTATAGTTTGGCCAAATTTTTCCCAGGGGTGGAGTTTCTCTTTGGATTCCCTGTATCATTCATTATTTCATATTTTATAGGAATGATAAAACAAAAGTTAAGAAAGCAGGAAATATGCACAAGTAAATGGAACTGTTATCAGGACTTTGAGATTTCTGGAGGAGGCAAGTTCCCCTTGATGTCAGTGCTTCAGGGTTCTCAGCTTGGGAGCACCTGGAGAAATTCTAAATCTTCCTTTCCTCCGGGCTCTGTTGACACTGGAGCTATTTTTCCTGAGGCAATTTATGTGTAGCTTTGGTTTGTAGTTTTCTTCTTCAGCTTGCTGTTTATAAGAAAGATTTAGAAATATTTTTGGTTGTGAGCCTAGCCTTTAATGGATGAGCCATCCCTCCATCCCTTAAAAATCTTTTAAAAAATAGTTAGCCAAGTCATGTTGGTGTAGTCTACAATCACAGCATGTAAGAGAATTATGATTGGAGGTCAGCTTGAGCTGCATAGATAGACCCTGCCTGTAAGTAAGTAAAAAAAAATAAAAATAGGGCTGGAGAGATGACTCAGCAGCAAGAGCGCTGGCTACTCTTCCAGAGGACCCAGTTGATTGCCAGCACCACATGATTGTTCACAATCTTCTGTAACTCCAGTCCCAGAGGATCCATTGCCCTCTTCTGGCCTCCTCAGACAGACAGACACCAGGCACTCATGTGGTGCACAGACATACATACCAGCAAAACACTCATACACATAAAATAAAATAAATAGGGACATGAGCTCTCAGGTAATAGTGGTGAATGTATTTTCTTTGCAGAGTAGGGTGTAGAGACCAAAGAGAAAAGGACTGGCATCTGTGGTCACTCCATTGCCAACTCCACTGCTCTGTCTTCTTTCCACATCTTCTGTCACCCACCTACTGCTCCCTAGTGTGTGTCTGTCTCATCAGCTCTTGAACCCTCTTTCCCCCATACACATGCACTCACAGATCCGTGCACACCTGTGAGTGTATTACATGCAAACCACCCATTATTCCCATACTTGTACTTCTCAAGGAAGAGATGAGTTGAGTGGGTCCTGAAGTTTAGACCAGGCTGGGTAGGCATCTGGCTGATGCTTTGCTAGACAGCTGCATTGCTGAGTGAGTGAACATACAGATGGAAAGTCTGTGTCCAAGGAAAGATGCAGTCAGCTGGAGAAAGTGAGACTCCTAATGGTGGGGGTAGGCATTCAGAGAGTGACAGGAGAGCATTGCAAAGTCAGTTAGAGCACATGGATTGGCACCCGGAAAGCTTTTAAATGCAGTACCGCCCTCTACTGAATGCTTTCTACCTGCTGTTCATTTCTCTAGAAAAGAGCTCCAGTTTGGTTTTTACCAGCCTCCAAAGTCCTCTTTGGAGATGCCAATTGGCACAAGAAAGTGCTGAACTGTTTACACTCCCTGACTAAGGTTCACCGAGGGGGATGTGGTTTAAATGGGCCACAAAGCCCAGTACAGGACTCATTTGCATGGCCCTGACGCCATGTGACGCAGCGGGCTCCTCCTATATAAAGAAGCAGGAGCCGAAATTATCTCTGAGTCTGGGTTGGGCTGGCAGCTGTGGAGTTGTGACACACTTGGTGACTTCCCTCGAGCTTGAAGTGCCTGACTTGCTCAGGTTCTGCCAGGCAGACTTCCTTCTAAGCTCCAGGGCCGAATTGCGGCGCCAGAGCCTATCCCGTAGCAGCGCGCCAGCAGCCACCCAAACCAGCCACAGCTCCCCCCGGCAACTCGAATCATGAACACCGAAATGTATCAGACCCCCATGGAGGTGGCGGTCTATCAGCTGCACAATTTCTCCATCTCCTTCTTCTCTTCTCTGCTCGGAGGGGATGTGGTTTCCGTTAAGCTGGATAACAGGTAACCACTTGCCCTAGCTCGCGCGCTGAATCGAGCCGCGGAGCCCATGGGGCTGGGCTCCGAGGTGGATCACATAGCTAGCTAGCCTTGCTCTGGTCCCTGTTTCTCCGCGGTGTAGCATCCTGGGAAGGGGCGGGGGTAGGGGACGCAGGAGGGGGGGTCACCTCTACGCTGGGATCTGCCGGCGGAGCGTCCCTGCGGCTGCCGCGCCGCGGTGAGAACTAGCAGCTGCCGCTGCTAAGGCAGAGGGGCGGCGAGCTAGGCAGGGCCGGGGCAGGCTGTGCACCGTCTGGGGAAAGGTCCGAAGCTTCTAAATCGAGAAGGAATTCCTAGCTAGGTCCGGAGATTGGTAGGTTTGCCCGGGACCTTTGGGGCCCCGCAGCGGGGGGCTTTACTTGGGCGCGCGCTCTATTGTTTGCAAATAGCCTGAAAGCAGGCCGCTCAGGCCCGGGCGCCTCAGAACCGCGCAGAGCTCCAATCCTTTGGAACTCAGGGCGGCGCCCAAGCAAGGTTAGCGGGGTTAGAGAAGTGCAGTTTCCTGCAGGGGTGGAGAGAGACCTTAAGTGCCTGGAATTAAGGCCAAGGAGGCAGGAGAGAAGAAGACCCTAGGCAGGTGGAGGACTTCAGCCACAACTGCCTTGGGCTTAGAGTGAGTAATGGGTGGCTTTGCTTTTTGTCTTGGCAGTGCCTCTGGAGCCAGCGTGGTGGCCCTAGACAACAAGATTGAGCAGGCCATGGTGAGTGCATCACTGTGTCATTACCGTCCCCTGACTTATTTGTAGCTTATGTAACTCTGGACAGTTTGAGGGGGTGGATGCAAAAACGTTTAGCCAGGACCCTAAAGAAAATAACTGCCAGCTTCCTATTCTCACTGGAGACCATTAGCGGGATGTCTTTTAGGACATTCCTAGTCTGCCCTTGGTACACTACCTCCTTTTTGACTCCTCCTCTATCCCAGGGCTTTGCAGCAGCCTATGGCTCCCTCCTGAATGGTGCAAGGTGAGAATTGCAACTCTTGGATTTGTCTGTTTCCTGCAGTTGGCAGGGGCCAGAGCTCATTGGATGCAGTTGCACTGCAGTGCCTCTGCAGATCCTGGGCTGGGCTGGGGTCAGGAGTTGGGAGGAAAGCAAAGCACCCCACCCTTTTGCTGGCCTGCTTCTTAATAGGTAGAGGTCACACTCCACCAAACAGCCAAAATGCTGCAGAGACTTGGGACGTCTTCCAGTGATAAGCTCCTCAACTGTGCTGTGGGGCTTAATGGCACAGTTCCCTATCCCTCAATAAATTCAAAGGGTACGGAAAGCTCTGCCTCTCCCCAGAGTAAGGTTCATGTGTCCTATTTGAGTTTTCAAGACAAGGGTGACTCGATGTGCGTTTTTAGGAGATAACAATTTCATATTATTGGCAATTGTTTATAAAACAGACCAAGAATATGGGGTGCACTGTAGGCTTCCTCCAGATTTGTGCCATAAAATTATCTCAGGATAAACTGAGAGGTCTTAACCTAGTCAGACTTGAAAATCATTAGTAATTTGAAGAGTCTGGAACAAAGTTGGGCTCCCAACCCTGACATGGCCCAAATTCTGCAACTGTCCTAAGCAAGAGTCTTAAGTGTGTAAGAATAGGGCAAAGAAGTGAGCTCTAGGAACGATGTGCTGGGTGAGAGTTGCATGATGGTGGCATGAAGACCAGTGCAGCAGATTGATAGCAGAGTGACAGTGCTGCGGAGGGGCCATGGTGGCTAACAAATAGTTTTGTTCCATGACAGGATCTAGTGAAGAATCATCTGATGTATGCTGTGAGAGAGGAGGTGGAGCTCCTAAAGGAGCAGATCCGTGAGCTGGTGGAGAAGAACTCCCAGCTGGAGCGTGAGAACACCCTCCTGAAGACCCTGGCAAGCTCAGAGCAGCTGGAAAAGTTCCAGTCCAGGCTGAGCCCTGAAGAGCCAGCACCCGAAGCCCCAGAAACCCCAGAAGCCCCTGGTGGTTCTGCGGTGTAAGTGGCTCTGTCCTCAGGGTGGGCAGAGCCACAACTTGTTCTACCTAGTTCTTTCCAGTTTGTTTTTTGGCTCCCCAAGCGTCATCTCATGTGGAGAACTTTACAACTAACATAGCTGGTGCCAAGAGATGTTTCAAGGACATGGCCATCTGGGTCCACTCCAGTGACAGACCCCTGACAAAGAGCAGGTCCCTGGAGACTGAGTTGCATGGGGCCTAGTAACCCCAAGCCAGTGAGCCTCTCATGCTACCGGGCCCAGGGGCTTCCAGGGCCTGGGCAACTTAGTTACAGCTGGCAAAGGAGAAAGTAGTTTGAGATGTAATGCCAGTGTGCTCCAGAAAGTATAAGGGGTCTGTTTTTCATTTCCATGGACATCTTCCACAACTTCATCTGACAATAACTGTTCCTATGAAGAAGCCACTTGTGTTTTAAGCAGAGGCAACCTCTCTCTTCTCCTCTGTCTTGCCCAGGCAGGGGCAGAGATGGGAGAGATTGAGCCAAGTCAGCCTTCTGTTGGTTAATATGGTATATTGCATGGCTTTGTGCACAGCCCAGTGTGGGATTACAGCTTTGGGATGACCGCTTACAAAGTTCTGTTTGGTTAGTGTTGGCATAGTTTTTCTATATAGCCATAAATGCATATATATATATATATATATATATATATATATACCCATAGGGCTAGATCTATATCTTAGTGTAGTGATGTATACATATACACATACACCTACATGTTGAAGGGCCTAATCAGCTTTGGGAGTACTGACTGGTCCCTTGTCTCTTAAAGCTAATTTTTTGACTGTGCTAATTTACCAAATTGATCCACTTTGTCCTTTAGATTAATTAAGACTCAAGATACAAGGGAGGGAGAGGGGGACCAGCCTCACAATGCGGCCACAGATGCCTTGCTGCTGCATCCCTCCCCCATCTGTCCACTGAAGACACTGAAGTCCTCATTTGAATGCCAAACCCACCATTCATTGGTGCTGACTACATAGAATGGGGTTGAGAGAAGATCAGTTTGGACTTCACTTTTTTGTTTGAGGTTTTTTTTTAATTGTTTTTGTTTGTGTTGTTGGTTTTGTGTTGTTGTTGTTGTTTTGGGGGGTTGTGTTTTTTGTTTTTTTTTTGTTTTTTTTCTTGTAAGAAACTTTGGGATGAATTAAAGGATGGAGTCCTGTGTTGGATAAGAGAAGTAAATGGTTTTGATTCCTTGGGGGCCTGGGAGATGTACCCAGGAAGTTTGTGTAAGGAGGTTCTGTGACAGTGGACACTTTCCACTTTCTGACACCTTATCCTGCTGTATGTCTTCAGGATTTGGATTTTTCAGATGTAGCTTGAAATTTCAATAAACTTTGCTCTTTTTTTTTCTAAAAATAAACTTGGTGTCTGACTGTATACATAGACTGGGTGGGCATTTGATAGAGGGAAAATGTTTTACTAGTCTGTCCAATATTTGCTGAACACCCGGGAAGGGCTGCTGCCTCCCTGATGGTGTGTCATTTACATAGTCTGTACATGCTTTTGCTCTTACACCTCTCTGTCCACATAGGGAAGCTGAGACTCAGCAAGTTTAAGTAACTTATCCAAAATCACACAGCCCTTATGAAAATTTGGACACATCTTAGCCTTCCTACTTGGTCTAAATGACTATTAACACCCAACTTTTAGTTTGAGGGGAAATTTGGAAAAATACCCCCTAAGAATCCCCCCAAAGAAACAAGAAAGGTATGCTTCTGAAGGATCCAGAGAGGAGCCTAGTTAACTTAGGTGAGCCTTCCTCTTCCTGCTTCTAATAATCCACTCAGACTCCTTGACCTTGACAAAGTAGAAGCATTGTGGTGAAAAAAAGGAGACTTGTGAGGGGGCAAAACTACATTCTTTTAGTCTGCTTTCCCCACCCCACCCAAAGAAAGATGTGTTCAATTCCTGCTTCTCCACTAGTCCTGAGAGTTCTCTCGCAGCATCAACCAGTGGAGCGGGCCAAGTCTATTTCAGCTTCCCTCTGCACCTCTTAGGGGCTACTTACTTAGGGCCCTTCTGTCCACATTTCTCTGCAGTTTGTCTGACTAACGAAGGACATTTAGTTTCTCTTCTGCTGCACCCTCAAATGGACTTAATTCTGGATCAATTCTGAGCCTACCGGGTTCTTAAGAGAGTCACCCTTATGTCAGTTATTTAATCTGTGCTTCCTGTAGAACACACAGTTATTTTTTGGACACATGCATTTAAACAGAATTTCACTTTTCTTAAGTCAGAATAAGCCTCAAGGTGACCAAAATGACTTGGCCCAATTGCTACCCAAATTAACTCAAAATGACATGCTTCCTTCTCAGATTCATACATATTCGCCTGTTCTTTTCCAATTGTCAAAACTTTCCTAACACCACACATCTCTGCTTGCTGGCTTCTTGAGCCCCAATTTCCATATCTAATCTCAATCTTGCTATTCAGGATGCCAAATTCATTGTGTGCACCTGTCAGTTTGGTCATGCTGTGCAGAATGCACAGCTAATGGCATAGATACAAACTTAGGGCCACAGCCACATCCGCTCTCAAGCAGCCATCCCTCCTCTGACCTAACTTTCTTAATCCTCATTCCCAAATCCTTTCACCCTTTCCCTGTAAAACAAACTGAAGGGCTCTGGGGACATTCAGTTCACCTACAGACTCTACACCCCTGTTTTCTAGCTGAAAAGTAACAGATGATGAAAGGAAAGTTTGACCCATGGTGGTAATAAAGATTTGGGGGGGGGGCAGGTGGGTGAAGTGACTGTTATAATCTCAGCACCTGAGATTTGGAGGCAGGCAGATAAGAAGTTCAAGGACATTTTGGGCTGCTGGAGACTGTCTCAAAAGGGGGAGGGGGAATGAAGAGGAGCAGAAAGTAACCCATCAAACTCTCTGGTCAACAGGTACTTTCTATATAAGAAAGGGGAAAAAATCTTGTCCCATATCACTTAGTGGTAAAGAGAACAACTTTGTTCCCTAGGCAACCCTGCCTAAACAGAGACAAACAACTGCAACCTCTGAGGCCACAGCAGTTAGCAGACCAGATAAGAGGAACTTAGGTGTTTGTTCTTCACACAATGCAGCAACTCTGTTATTGTTGCTCCACAGAAAACCACCTAGGCTGGAGAAAGGCAGGGAAAAAAACAGTGCTCGTGGCCTTTCACAGCTTTTGAAGTTCTAGGTTCAACTGGTTGCATCAGACCCAGAACAAGAAAAAAGAAAAAGAAAAAAAAGCAAGGAGAGCTGAAGCAGTAAACCTTGGGTTCTGGGCATGCCAACTTGTGGGTGACCTCTGATCTACTGTCGCATTGATCCTCCTGACATCATCACAAGAGCACTGCTCTGCCACGATCCTGAAGGCAAAACTGTTTACTGCCCTTCTAACGAGGCAGTTATGGTTTACTTCCATTAAACAGACCAGAAAACTGACAGGCAGAGGTCTCTGTGTGGCTCCCAGAGTTCCCATGGGCCTCAGGAGACAGCAGCTTCCCCTAGACATGTCAAAAAATACTCTCAGACCACCCTCAAATCCATAGTGGTTGAACCGTGCATCTTTACTGAGAGAAAGAGGGGAAGGAGATGATGAGGGAGAAAGCAAAGAACAAAATGATTGAGTTCAATGTGACTTTTTTGATTTTTTTTTTCCGAGACGTTTTTCTCTGTGTATCTTTGTCTGTCCTGGAACTTGCTCTGTGGACCAGGCTGGTCTTGAACTCACAGAGATCCGTCTGTCTCTGCCTCCCCAGTGCTGAGATTAAAGGTGTGCCACCATGTCCAGCATCTCAATGTGGCTTTTAAAAGAACTGCTTATATTTATCCATGAAAGCAGAGACATTCATTTGAACACTAGAACAGTAGTAATGCATTGCTATCTAGCTAAGTTTAACTACCCACGAACACCCGTACCCACAGTGGGACTAGATTAACAGAAAGAGGCTGCCTTGGCTACAAAGAGCAAGGTTCCCAGGTTCAGGAAAAGCACAGAGGAAACTACTTGGGAGGGAGGCCTCCTGGAGAGCCAGTGAGGACTGAGTAGGGGAAGAGGCAGGGCTGTTTGCTCCTGGTGTATAGAAAGAAAAATAGGAGAAAGCACCAGGAAAGAAAGTGTAGGGTCTCCTGGCTCTGGAAACGTTTTGAAGTTGTACTAACATCATCGTGTTTATTCTGGAAACCCTTGCTTTTAAATCTTACCTTTTCTCCTCCTAGCAGGCCAATTACAGCTTGAGAGACAACCCCGTCCCTGGGAGAGGGCTGCAGAGAAAGCCAGCCAGATCCAAACACTGAGCATTTAAATTTCTCCACCCCTGGATCAGTCAAGGCCTTACCAGGGACTCATATCAGTTCAATATTCCAAGAAGAAATGGTTTCTAGAAAAGAGCAGGCTGGAAGAGGCAAAGATCACAATCATATCATCAGTTACATGACAGTTTATGTCACATACCATTATAATCCATTTTATTGACTTTTTAAGTCGTCTCCACAAGCCTATGAAATATGTCCTATTAAGATCCCTGTTTAGACAAAGTATAGCCCAGTGGTAGAGAGCACACCTAGTACAAGTAAGGCCCCGGACTTAATCTCCAGCCAAAAGCCACCAATAATAAACATTCTCATTTTACCAATGAGAAAATGAGAATGCTAAGTAAGATACAGAGAACTTAGGCCCTTTGGCCAAAGTCATAGAACTAGTGCAAGGCAAACCATGCATATGGAGAAGGTGAGATGGATGCCTGAACAAATGGGATGAACAACCGCAATTGTTTTCTTGATTTCTCCCGTGTTTCCCAATCCAGCGATGGATACAAGTGAGCTGGGGACGGATGGGAGTGAATGGAGAAGGAAAGGGGAGGGTGGGAAGCCGGCTAGGCTGGCCAAGAGCCCATGCCTTTAGATAGCATCTAAGAGCCCTCAGGGAAGCCTCTGAGCAGGGAAAGGATGTGAGGCAAGAATTATTTGTACAGGATGGGTTGTGGCCGCTGGGGAGGCTGGAACAGGCAGGGGCTAATGGGGGGGGGGCAGGCAGCTGCTGTTCTAATCCAGCTGTGCAGTGATGAGGGCCAGCCCAGGGAAGGGTGAGAACAGAGGTCACCAAAAGGAAAGGACAAAGCCAGTACAAGGCCGTTCTTTTTTCTCAAGTGTGGTCTGCAATCCACTCCATCAATTTGACCCAGAAGTGCAAATTGCAGACTCCAGCTCCACACAGGCTGTAGAGCCTGCATATTTCCCAAGTCCATGTTACTAGGGAGCCTCCACTATGGGAAACCTTGAGGATCTTCTACCAGGTGAAAAGTCACTATGACCTACTAGCAAAACGAGTTAGGTAGAGAGGCAATAACAAAGTAGTCTAAGTCAAAGATGACTTGGATATTGGGATGATTTTATATATAGGGTTTTTCTGTGTAGCCTTGGCTATCGTAGAACTTGCTCTGTAGACCTGGTTGACCTCCAACTCACAACGATCCACCTGCCTCTACTTCCACAGTATGGGGATTAAAGGCTTGTGCCACCACCGCCATGGGACTTCAATCATTTTTTTTTTTTTACTATATAACTCAAGATAACCAAGAAATCAAAATGTGCTGCCTCCACTTTCTGAATGCTAAGATCACAGATAGGCAACACCAAATTCAAAGTTAACCAATTAAAAATTATTTATTCATTTTATGTGTATGGATATTGTGCCTGCATGTATGTCTGTGTACCACATGCATCCCTCATCCCCAGGGAGCCAAAAAGAGGGCGTTGGATTCCATGAAACTGGAGTTACAGACAGCTGTGAATTGAACCTGTGTCCTCTGGAAGAGCAGCCAGTATTCTTGCTCCTGGGTCATCTCTCCGGCCTAGTAACCACTTTTCTTTTTAGATGAGGATTTTCCTGATACTCCTGGGCTCAAGTATACTCCTGCCTCAGATTCTAAAGTAGCTGAGACTACAGGTTTGAACCACCAAGCCTTATTTCATTTTAACCAATTTGGAGGATACCGGCCATTAAGATTGGCATGCAACCATGACCAACCCATCCCCAGAATGTAGACAATATCCTGAGTTGATACTGTGTCCCAAGCAAGCACTCGCTATGCCTTACTCCCAGCCCCACGGTGAAAGGGTGGCGTCTGGTAGATCTGAAAGGCTTTTCAGAAAGAAGGTGCATTTTAATTTACATTTCCTAATGAGCTATGAATATTTGCATATGGAAAGATTCTCTGTTAACTGTGTGGAGAGAGAACTGTGAAGGCCAGGGCTGGAGCACGTGACTTGTCCATGTCTGCGTGTCATCAGAAATGAAATGCTGAAGTCATGTGAATAGACACAAGCCACCACCCCGGGAGAAATGGCTGCGGAGGAAGACAAACAGAAA